CTGAAAGCTTCAATGGTGAAGGTGACCCGCCTGACGTCATGCGAGCTATGGCCGGCAAATCACCGAGGACATGCGGAGGTTTTTCTGACTTAATGGCTCTTTTGGTAATTCACGTATCATGAAAGGAACTAAGCCAGAAGGCAAAGGCCCAAAATTGGAACAACCCCCCACATGACGATTCAGTCGGGGATGCTCTGGTGACCCCACACGCCTAAACATCCGCGTACCCATAATCTCCTCTAGTGCAGCACTCAAAAGAGGTAGGGCTTGATGGGCAGCATGCCAGAAGGAATCCCAACACGTACAATCAACCCACTAATATCTAAATGGAACCCTATATTGCACTCACCAGTAATGTAGACCCTGCCTCACAGACCCCATTTTGGCGGCTCCTGAATACTATTGAAACTATGGGTGGCCCATTGTGGCTTCGGGCAGTGCTGTTGGGGCATGAGCACTTTGGTCACTTGGTATGGTATGCACTGCACTAACGAGAGAGAATGCTCCATCTGCGCCATCCCATCAATAGCTTGCCCAGTAGGCCAACTTTGCAGCCAAACCCTAACATTCCCCGAAAGACCATAAACTAACCCCTAACCAAATTCGGAACACACGCAGGATTGCAAATTTTCGACCCGAAGTAAACCCTACTCCCCAATTCTCCGCCTTTTTGGCCGCAAGCCGCACTTCATAGCGAAGCTCAGGGTCCTCAGCACATCCCTCCCGGCTCTTTTTGGGCACTTCGGGGCCTGTCTGTTGTAGGGTATGAAGGATAGGTTGAGGGCTTAGGTTTAGGGTTCAGGGTATAAGGCCGACATGCTGCAACTTGCAACACTGCTAGGATGGCCCTTGAAACCCTCTGGAAAATACTCCTGAAGATGGTCCTCTTAAACCGAACAAGGGAAAAACACAGAATGTCCCAAGAGCCTACCTAGGACAAGTTTACCGGGTTTTTTTCCGGGGTCGCGGGGGGCTAGGGGCCTTGAGGTTCGGTTTTTTGGGACTTGGGGCTGGCTGGATGGTTTTGGGCTATTTTGGGGGGGGGGGGGGGGGGGGTATAGAGGATTTGTTGGTGAGGGGTGAGTGGGGGTGCAGGGCTGACCCAAAAGCCTAAACCCTTAGGGCTGTTGGGAACTTGGGTTTCGTAGGAGCCCACTTCATGCCAAGACGTGCTCGTGGCCTAAAGGCTCTGAGGTAGTTTCTTTGTTCGTGTAGTCTACTTACTACCAGTACCTTCCCTAAGCCGCCAACTCAAAAGAACCCAACGAACTGCAAAGAAACTACACGCGCGGGACCAGTGTAGGGCAAGAGATGAGAGTTCCCCAGAAGTTATGGTACACCTTTAGACCCCCAATTATGGAACTCCCCTTGCAAGAACCCTAAACCCCAAACCCCTAAACCCTAAACCCAAGAAGGGGTTTAAGCCCCCCCCAAACCCTGAGATGGAGACTTCACCACGAAAAAACATGAAATCTTACGGTCCGTAGGCCCCGTCATGTTGGACCTGGTTTGGTAGGGGCCTCCTCTATCAAGTTGATTTATCAGGACAAGCTGACTGTTTACCCCCCCCCCTCTCCCCCCCCCTTACCCCTCCCCCCCTCCCAAAAAAAACAAAAAAGCAGTCGAGGCTGGATTTGCTCCATTTTAAACGGGCCCGGGGGTAATTGCAATATAGGGAGGAGTTTATATACATTTAAGAGGGGCAGCGATGCCCGGCAATCTTGTTTAAAGGCGCGCCAGCTGGAACTTTCTAACGGCGCCCGGACGATTGGTCTCTAAATTCAGGACCCCACTGCGCACGAAACCAGACCGTAATACGTAGCCCTGAGGCCCTAATCCCCACAACCCTTTAAAGCGTTGAGAGCCGCCCTCAGCATCACAAAGTCGGGGCAGATTCCGAGATTCCGGCCCCGCATTCGCGCTTCCTGAGGTTACCATGGTGTCAAAAGGGCGTTAAACGGGCAAAGGGAATGAACGGTATGGGTTTCTCTGGGTTAGGGTTTAGGGATTAGGGTTTAGGGTTCAGGTTTCGGGCTAGGGTTGGAGGGTGTGAAGCCCTGTAAGCCCTAAACCCTTCACAAGGGGCCCCAAAACCGTATTTCCAAATTCGAGGCCCAAAACCCAAAACCCGGCCCCACAACCTGATAGACCTTTGGGTTTAGGGTTTAGGGGTTTAGGGGTTTAGGGTTTACCTAAACGACAAGCCCCATACCTTAAAACCTTAAACCCTGAACCCTCCACGTCCTCGACTGCGCTAAGGCCCCTGCCAAACTCCGACCGTGTCTTCGCAAAACAGCTTGGGGGCCTGCCGACAGAAGAGCAGGAGAAGGCTGCAGTAGAACACGGAGTGTTGCCAGTGCTTTGGCTATTTCTCGTCCGGGTTTTCCGGATCTGTGACAGGTCCAATCCCATCATATACAGACACAACACCGAGGCCATCACCACAGAGTCACCGCGAAGGCTCGATCAAAGAACTGTTGACTATTGCACAGCGCAAACTCGCTCTAAACCCACCAGGCCCAGCCTTCCAAACCGTGAACTTGTGAGGAACATGTCCGGATGCACTGCAAGCGCTGCAGATTCTCCCGGCTGCTCCTCAGCGGAGTCTTTCCCCATAGGTCTGCTCCGACCGCTGGTTGAGGGCGGGTATGCTAGCATTACTCTGCGTGTCCATCCTTGCGATATCCTCCCACATCCACACATGACTCTGTGTGCCTGACATTAGGTCCTGTACTACGGCCAAGGGACAAGAAGAATAGCATAGGAAGCACACAGACAAACAAACACAGACAGATACACACACAGACACAGACACTGAAAAACACACACACACACAGACAGACAGACAGACAGACAGACAGACAGACAGACAGACAGACAGACAGACAGACAGAGACACACACACACACACACAATGGCACATCAACCCTCGTGCATTGGACCTCTGGCACATCAACCCAGCGTGCCTCCGCACAGGCAGCCGACCTTGGCCGCCAGCTGCACCTTCGAGAGCGGCACGGCACGATGGCTTCTTGAAGGGGTCTCCTTCGGGTTGTTTATATGGGTTCCAAACAGCTGCGTCGCAGAAACACGGCTTCAAAGCAACACCTCCTGAGAACGCGGCTCCTGCATATCGCATGGAGGTCTAGGTAAGCCCTCGCACCCCCCTCCTCCCCCCCCCCCCCCCCTTTTTGTTGTCCGTCTGCCCAAGGCCGTACCAGAAGGAACCCTAAGTTAGAGACCTGACCCACATGGAACAGCACTACACGTTCCCTTCTGAGTAGCATTCAACGAACTCATGGCGAGAAGCCTGATAGGGTTTATAGGGTTTAGGGACCAGTATAACAAAGGCAAACAGAAGCCGACGAATGCCCCTGCTTCTTGTAACTATGGCACCTGCAGTCAGCGCCACTGCAAATCTTGAGAAGCCCGAGCTTGACTTCGAAACGTGCTCCAAGTTTGCAGTGGCAAACTTTGAGCACGACGCGAAGTCCAGCTCGGGCTTCTCACGGCCGCAGCAACAGGATTGCCCCATGGCTGGCTCCTTGCGGTAAACGTCAAAAAATCTATCCTTGAGAAGAGCAACTGGAAGCATCGAACAACATGGGAACGGAGAGCTTTGATAGCCAATAGAGCCAAAGCAAAGTGCGAAGACCGGCCTGTTCGTCGTGCATCATGCAGGGCTCTCTTTGGGGCATTCGCTCAGTACATGTACACACATGTACTCATACGTCATATGTAGCATTTCTTGGCAGTCGCAAGGCCTATGTGCCACCCGCTTGCAGAGTCGCCTCCTTGCGCGGACAGGGTTTTAAGACTTCCAGGACGGGCTATTATGCCCCATAACCCCTAAAAATCGCCTTTATGGGGTTGAGTAGGGGGATTATAGGGCCTAATAGCCCGTCCTGGAAGTCTTAAAACCCTGGCTATGGTTTAGGGTCTCGCTAGGGTTTAGATTTATAGGGATCCATGGTCGAATATGTGGTCGAACTGATTCGGTGCTAGTTGCAGAAGAATCCACAGATAAGGGTTTCGGAGCGCGATAAAGCAGTGACACACAGGGATTGCCATTTTGCATCTCGCCAAGTCTCAGCAAGTCATCTCCATGCGCTACTGGGGGACAGGCTTGATAAGCGTCTCCCTTCTGGGTGGCCCTTCCTCTGTTTTCATGAGGGTTCCCCTATTAAAAGGTACTCGTACCCGCCTGATGAGGGCCCCACCGTGGAAGAGCCACCCTAAACCCTAAACCCTTTCAACCCTAGTTAAACCCTAAACCCTAAACCCCAAACCCTAAACCTTTAAACCCTAAAACCCTAAACCTTTAAACCCTAAACCCTAAACCCTAAACCCCACCACCTCCGCCACTCAATCTCAGGCCTCTTCGGGCCGCGGCCGCGGCTCCAGCCCTTATTCGCGTACGCTATGCTCGAATGAAACGAATGTCATGGCATCTCAAGCTCCGTCTGGGCAGATCTCACAACTATGCCCGGCCCCTTTTGGGTATGCTACAAATATATGTGTATATATATATATATATTCACACATGCATATGCATGTACACACACACATATATATATATATATACATATGTGCATATATATATATATACACACCCATTAGTTGTGTAAGCGCCGAAACTTAGTGGGTATCCAAGCAGGGACCCCAATGTAGGGAACCGAGCATACAATTCTACAAGTAGCACCTAAACAGCGGGTGCCTCTGCCAGCATGGTGTGGTTTATCTGACTCAGGCCTGGGCGTAGATGAGTCATTACCACGGTGTTGCCATTTTCGGGCAACTTTTCCTGGCGAGGTGTTGGTAGTTGCGTGGCACATGGGCGGTGGCCCACCCCTAGAAACAATCTTTCTCTCCTTTTGCTGCATTTTGCTCTCAGTGCCTGTAACATCTCAGGATGGCAAAGAAAAAGTCGGGCGACACCTTTGGTCCTGACAGTTAGAGGAGCATGTCCAGTTTCTACTTCTGCTGTCGCCGACGATGCATCAAGCTTGAGATGATGGCTCACTCATGTCTTTGAGACACCGAGCAATGCTTTTGACCTTGCAACAAGGCTGAGGCCGTTCACTACTATTTGGAGGTTCACGGTACATATACTTACAAGCCCCTTAAGTGCCCTAGTATGGTTATTATTGCATTTTAGGTACAGTTCTTATAAATGGGTTAACAAGTACACATAAGTACCATGCACCTCCAAGTAGTCTCTGGCGTTTTTGCAGCTGGCAATATCGCCACATGAGGCTCTGGCAGCCAAGCTTACGCTTTGAGGGCCCATGGCGCACACCAATGGCTCCGACCTCTCTCCAGCACACCTGGACACCAAACAGTTGCGGGTCTCACTGACCAATGAGCACGCATGAAGATCACGAACTCTGCAACCTAAGAGAATGGCGTTGCCTGTGCATCCAGCAGGTGTTGACGGCCGCGGCAAGCTTCTCAATCGGTGTGTCCCGTCCCACCTCAACAAGTTTGAGAGCTTTGCAAGAGCGCCGCAGTGCTTTCTGATCTGCAGCATCTATGGCTGAAGCTCTCAATCTGTCCTGCTCCGGCGCAGGGTATGGCGTGTAGGGCCTGAGAAAGTCTGACTCAAGCCCTGCCCTGCCCTACAAGCCCCAAACCCTAAGCTTGTAGGACTTTGTTTGATGTATGGCGCCGGCTTCTGCAACCCTACGACCTTCATGCTGATCCAGTAGGTGGTATCTCTCCTGGTCGGGTGCAAGGATTTGGCTTCAGCTTGCAAAGCTCCTGCGCAAGACAGCGTCGCGAAGTCTAAGTGCAATGCTTCCGTAGCTGGGGGACAAAGCCAACCCGATGGAACCATGGCGCCTCGGGCATGCTGCTCACACTGCTTGGGAAAGAGAGGAAGTGGCAAGAGTCACGTGCGAACGGCTCGGGATGGTTCAAAGGCTTCCTCGAAGAGGATGGGAGGTTCATGGTAGCATTGCTCATGCGCTTCTCTTAGCCTGACAAGAACCTGACAGCCTGGCAAAGGCCCCTGAACCCGCTGAACCCTAACCTAAAGCCTAAAGCCTAAAGCCGAAAAACTAAACCCTAAAGCCTAAAGCCTAAAGCCTAAACCCTAAACCCCTCTGCACCTCGCCGGCGCTCTCTCCGTTTCGTTTGGCCTCTGCGAATTTGTTCACCAGCATCACGGCCTCCAAGCATGGGTTGTTAGAGAGCCTAAGCCAAGACGCCGGAGTGCGGATATATTCTGTATGTGTATATATATATATATGTATATATATATACACATAGTATGTATATATATATATGTGTGTATAATATATATATATATATATATATAGGCAAGTCTCTAGATATATTGCGGCACCCCTACTTAAAACAAAAGGGAAAACCCAACAAGGTTCCCTGCTTTCGATCACCCCCGCCATATACATGCACAGCACCTGAGGGCGCCTTCAAGCAGTTGTCGATGCTCTTGGGGCCCATGCCCTCAAGAAACGTGACTTGCCTCCCGAAGGGGAAGGTGGCTTGCTTGGAGGTTCAGGGTACTTCTGAACCCAACAATAGCTGGACTTTTTACCCATTGCCTCCCGAAGAGGGGTGGCTTACAGGGTTTTTGGGAGATTTTTTGGGGGGGGTTTAGGATAGTATAGGGGTACCTTATTGGGGTCCCTTTTTTGAGGAGGTCCTATTATTTGGGAGTTCATATTTAGGCCCCCCCCCCCCCCCCCACATTTTGGGGTTTAGAGTGCTCAGCAGCTCACTCTTCCAGGGTTCAAGCCAGGGTTCAGGGCTCCTTGAATTCAGGGTTCAAGGCCCTTCAGGGTAGGGTTCAAGGTCTTAGGGTTTAGGGCTCAAGGTCCTGGAGTTTTGGGCTTCCTGGATTGGGTTAGGGTTCAGGGCCTAGGGCAAGGTTGAGGGTGTGGGGGGAGGGGTGGGGGGGGGGGGGGGTGGGGGGGTGGGGGGGGGTGGGGGGGGGGGGGGGGGGGGTGGGGGGGGTGGGGGGGGGTGGGGGGGTGGGGGGGGGTGGGGGGGGGGGGGGGGGGTGGGGGGGGGTGGGGGGGGTTGGGGGGGGGTGGGGGGGGGGGGGGGGGGAGGGGTGGGGGGGGGGGGGGGGGGGTGGGGAGGCGGATTGCCTGACGACTTGGGCCAAACAATTGCTGACGACTTGGGCCGTTAAGATCGAGGTACACACGACAGAGAGGTTTTCGGGCTTTGGGCTCAGTGCTTGGGGTTCAGAGGGTTTAGGCCTCAGGGTTCAGGGTTTAGGGCTTAGGGCTAAGGGTTTGCTTGATCTTACAGGCAGGCGCAGCTATGGGAGTCCTTCGCTCGGTTCGCAGGTATACACCTCCTGCCAACTTCGCCATCTCCACTCCTGGCAGGTCGAATCATGAGGAGGTGCACATCTGGGTGCTTTCCCGAAGTTGGGCCCTGCACCGAACATCCCCACTTTAGGAACCCAAACCCTTCAACCCTAAACCCTAATACCCTAATACCCTAATACCCTAATACCCTAAACCCTAAACCCTAAACCCTACTAAACCCGACTTTCGGAACATGGAAGTCCAGCCCATACCGGTGCCAAGTGCTGATCCTTCGCCCTTGACTCTGAAGAGCATCTCCGGTTGGTCTTCCCGGAAAGCCTGTTGGCACTTACCAAGGGTGTAGGGTTTAGGTTTAGGGTGCAGATCGCGATTGCAGCCTGCGCTTGAGCTGTCAACTGTGTGCACAGAAGTACAAGTCTTCATATCTGATTGTGCGAGAGAGTTCTCAGTGCGTGACGAAGCTCCTCTGCTGCACACATCGGCCTGCAAAAGACGTGTACCAAACTGCCACAGCCCCCAATCAGGCCCAAATCCTACATTCAGGAGCCAGTCTGCAAACCAGGTTCGTACAGCCACACGCGCAAGCCGCCACACTCGAGCTGACATGCCTACACCTGCTCGGAATGGCTGCATGCGGCTCACCACCGCCATCCGCTGCCGCAGTGCCATGTCCGGCGTGAGAAGTCGCTAAGGCTTATCCAGACTTGGCCTGTCCGGGCGTGCTGTAGCACACTGCAATCGTTGCTGCAACGACGGGTGTGCTGATAAGGCCGTCAGCGCGTGCAGTGATGTCACATGATGCATCTTCGTCAAATTTTAGGTGCCAGATGCATAAGTGGCACCCGGGTGCTCAGCTTGGTTTTGCAACTTGCCGACTGCTGTTGCGATAGGTACGGAGCTCTTCGCAGTACACTCTGGAAATCCAATCTCAGTCACATTTCGCAGTTGTGCAGGGGCTGACATGCGAGGCTTCACCGTGCATGACTTCAAGCAGACTCTCTTTTCCTTGGTGCTTCTCAGGTGGTAAGTGCTTTGAGTAGAAGTTGGGGAGATTGTCGGATGCTGCCCGCCCACTTAGGCTCAGCATGTTTTGAACAATGCCTTTCACTGAACAAGCCACATCCCGTTCACATCCCTGGGGCTCAGCTGACTTCAGCCCGACGTCTCCAGTGGGGCATGGCCTCATTTCAAGGGCGGCACGTTCTCTTCGAACCTTTTTGGTTGCGCTGCTTGGACTGCGCTTCTGGTTTCGTGTTGAGGGCTTATGTGCAGGGGTTGAAATCCCAAGTGCGTCCTTGCACCTTGGAGAGGGAATTATCGAAAGGAACCGAAATACTCGCATGCATGACACAGCTCGGCATAATCACGTAATGCCCAACATCTGCACATGTTGCAGCTGCCGCTGCATCGGAACGTCTACGGCTTAGCTGAGTTCAGCACAGACATCACCTCCGGATAGTCAGCCTTGGGACTCAGTTTGCACCCTACTAACGCTTTCCACGACTTTTTGTGATTCTTGCTGCCTTTTGTGGCCAGTGCTCTCAACGATAGCCCCCGTATCCGTACACTTGTCTCAGAAGATGACAACTTGTATCATTATCGGACATCAGACCGGCAACCAAAGAAGCACCGTGACTTAGAACTGACCCGGGGTGGGTTGATCAATCCCTGCTCCTTGCCATTTTTAGGGCCTTGGGTCTAGTAGATTCCCCTTATAGTCTAGGGCACCAAAGAAGGCCCGCAATTATTCTTCAACCCCTAAACCCTAAACCCTAAACCCTAAACCGGGCCAAGGAGGTGGCTTGCATGCCCTCCAGGCAGCGCATCAGAGCTTGTTGCTCGGCCTGGCGTACATTTCTGGCGGGGGGCTGGTACTGTCCCATACGTGGAGGTTCAGGGTTTAGGGTTTAGGGTTTAGGGTTTAGGTTTAGGGTCATGGTACTTATTGACCCAATAAACACTGTACTTAGAACCCAATTCTAACCACACTCGCGCACTTAAGTGGCTTGTAGGTGGGTTATAAGTACAGTGTAGAAGTGGAGAAGAGGTACCATGAACCTCCAAGTGCTAACGAATATCACTCGGAACCTCCCGAACACCCGCATTGCAACGCTGAAGAGCGGAGGGATCACGGTGCACCTTCTTGCCGATCATCCCGAGGCAATGCAGAACACGTGAGATTCGTAGCCAGTTGTGGTTCCTGGCGTGAACTTGACATCTTAGGTTCTGGGTTTCTTTTGAATCTGTCCCAAAAGACAGGCACGCACCTTCTAAGTGCGCAAGTGATACGAAAAGTAGACCTCCAGCCCTAAACTAGTCTCTAAGCCTGAACTGAACTCCCTTCCTTGCCCTGACGATTTGAGGTAGGACGCGTTTTTGGAAGATATGCTAGGGCTTCTAGGATTCACGTCATGGGTCTTGGGGTTCGGAAACTCAGTGGCGATGAAGGCTGTCAATGCAGAAGGCTGGCGCTTTCCAGAGGTTTCGACTGGGACGTTCCCGTTGGGAACTCTGAGAGTCCCAAAACACCGAGAAGTTCAAAACAGGGCGGGTCAACCCACCGAAGAAAGAAGACCAGCAGTCCCTCTCCCTGCAGTCGGGCACACAGGGAACAAATGGTCGCAATACTAGGTTTTTTTTTTTGTTTAGGGTTTAGGGTTTAGGGTTTAGGGTTTAGGGCAATTGCCATGCCTAACAGGACCTCAGGAGTTTGAACACTTCGGCTCAAGGCGGCACAAACAGGATTGCTGAGTGGAGTCTTTGTTGGCCGCCTCTCGCTTCGAAAACCACTCAGTGTGCCAGTGGCTTCTGCCAGCAATTGCATGGTGGAACTCTCCGAAATCGGGGCATGAAGCTCTGCCAGCATGAGACTTCAACACAGGAGCCCTAAGGCCCAAACCCGAAACGTCCTCAGCCCTGAGCCCTAAACTGTCGAAGACTAAACCCCTAAACCCTAAAGCCTAAACCTTAAACCGGAAACCCTAAACCTGGGTGGCCGGCCGAGATTTGAAGTGCTCGGCCCTGGACGCAGACAGCTCAACAGCTACTGTTGGGCACCAATTGTCGCAGGGGGGGGAACGCAGCATGAAGGGAACCAGAACAGATTCGCATGGGGGGAACGCAGCATGAACGGAACCAGAACAGATTCGCATGATGTATCAGATGCGGTTTAGGGTTTAGGGTTTAGGGTTTAGGGTTTAGGGTGGTCACTTTATGGCGGGCCGGAGTAGGAACTCCAGGGAGCCTTATGTTGCTCACCTTCAATATTTCTCGGTCGTCGTTTTCTTGTTCTGCTAAACCATTTCCTTCTTTCTTTCTGTGTTTCGTAGAGGGGGAGAACCACTAGGCCAGTCTACCCGGCGTTTATACTGTAGCTGCTCAAACGGACAAGGCTCAGGACCACTGCGTTGACCCCGCTTAATAAACCTAGCATGCCTCTGCCGCCTGAGCCCCTGGTCCACGAGCGTGTTCCCCCAGACCACCGAAACAGACTACGACCAGGTTCCCTCGTGGATCGGAGTGCGTAACTACCTCGCGAGTGAGACGCCGGCGTGGCAACGTTTCTCAGCCCGCACTCGCCCCTGCTAGCAAAACAAAACTATGGCTCTCTCTACTTCTTCTTCTTCTTCTTCTCCTTCTTCTTCTTCTTCTCCACAGATCTCCACGGGTCCCTCGCTCGCTCTCTCAGCTGCCTGACGATGTGCGGCTCCCCCCCATCCGCTGTCTTCATTTCCAGCCTCCAGCATGTCCGAGCATGCTCGGTGCCATTCATAACACTACTTGTAGGGTTTAGGGTTCAGGGTTTAGGGTCTAGGGTCTAGGGTTTAGGGTTGAGGCATGGTGAATGATGGTCAGCCGCTTTGCGCTCGGAACCAAGAAGCAAACAGGTCGTTGCACCCATGCATGCCACTGAGATTCGCACCCAAGGAATGCCAAGAACCTGGAAGCAAGTCGCCGCGCTGGGCCGATGAGGAGCCAAGGCAGCTAGGTGAGATCACACTCCCTCGGAGTCTTTCGACAAGGCACCTGGTCAAAATTCGATCAAAGTTCTCTTGGATCTGCGGGTCCTTCCAGAATCTTACAACTCAGCTCTGCTAGATCTGAAAAAAAGCGAAGGACGAGCCCAACCTCCCTGCATACCTTCTGAACCTGACAGACAGTGACAGCCACCACAGCAGTGCGTTTTGCAACCGTGTGCTGATATAGGGGCCGGAATAATTACTAGTAGTAAGTAGTATCCCCTAATCAGGGTACCCATGTATTTATCATTATACTATAATAACCCCACAAAACCCAACTCGAATTATTCAGGCCCCTATATTGTGTGCTCAGTGCCCAGCTTGGGGTGTCATCAGCGGTGCTGCACTGTTGAACATGGAGGCTTCGTCCGTTGGGAAGATCCACTGTACGTAGTTGTGGACGGCCCTGCCGCCGAAGGCGCGATCCCAAGATCCAAGAGTTTGCTCATGGCTTCGTTAAAAAACCCTTTTAGGGTTTAGGGTTTTTTAACGTTAAAAAACCCTAAATGCTTCTGAGGACACAGCTCCATCCAGTCATTGTTGCATTCCAGGATCTCCTGAGCCCCAGGTCTTCACTCGCCAAGGATGCAAAGTGGACGACCCTAAACCCTAAACCCTAAACCCTAAACCCTAAACCCTAAACCTCAAACATCCGGCCTCCAAGGTCCTTCCCTCACTGTCTTGGCCTTTTCCTTGGAGAAACTTGATGAGGACATCGCCCGTTCTTAAGGCACCTGTCCAAAACTCCAGCCCCTGTCGCACTGACATGATGTGTGAACCAGGATGGGCTATAGTAGGTCTTAAAATCCCCATAATGAACCCTGTAAAGGGCCTTTTAAGGAATCATAGGGTGTAATTTGCCCATCCTGGAAGGTGCTGAAACAAGCAGCCTGGACCACCTCGCGATGCCAAGGACCCTTAGCGCAAGGACCGCGCTGCGGCAGGCGGAGTGAGGAGGCATCTGCTGCTGGTCTTACTGCGGAGCATCAGACGATAGGTAGTATAGTACTACCCGAACCCTAAACTTGAAACCTTAAACCCTAAACCCCAAACCCCAAACCCTAAACCTTTGCATTGTGAGCAGCTTTGGAGACCATGACTCTGTGAGAGGCGTGCCGTGCGAACCGTCGAACTGCATCTGGACAGCAGGCCTGAGGCAGACGTGTCTCTCTGTACTGGAGTGATTGGTTGACTTAGCTGTTCCATGAGTCCGCGCGCGCGTGCTCTTGGAGCGACTCGATTCATGCTTCATCTTTGCTTGCGCAGTTTGGGCTGCGCTGCTAGGCAGCAAGATTATCACAAGAACGAGTAATGAATGTGGTTCACTGGTCATATCTTGCCCCCGCGAAACTGACCACGTGAAGAAGCCGATGGGCGCCAAGCGTTTCAGCAGCTCTCTTTGATCGGCAAGGGCAGTTGCCCATGCTCAGCAAGCTGAGGACAGGCTCAAGGCACATTCCCCGTGAGAATGCAAGGGTGGCCTGCGCTTAGCATTCACTAATTCTACCTACATGTGTCATGTGTCCATTACATGTTGATGGTAGGCCGTATGCTCCTGATACCTTCCACGAGACGCAAGCTGCGGTGCTTGGAATGAGCCAGCTGCGGCAGGTTTGGTGACTTGAGGCACCAGCAGGACCAGCAGCATGCTACTTGCTAGCCACCTGGCAGCGGTGCAGCAGGACACTGCGCGATTTGGTCGCTTTCTCAGCGTCAGCATGCTTGAGCGTCAGGGGATGGTTCCCACCACAGACAGTGCTGCCTGGCGGGACTGTGATGTGCCCCCTCTGAAGCGAAGCGCTGTTTAAGGCTGGGGGTCGGGGGGGGGTAGGGGGGTGGGGGGGTAGTAGGGGGTAGGGTGAGGCGGGGGTAAGGGAGGGGCGTAGGGGGTAGGATAGGGGCTAGGGGGTGGGATGTGGGTACGGGGTGAGGTTTGGCATGAAAGGGTTTTTACGTGACTGGGGTCACCTGAGACGCTCTCAGAAGACCTTCCAAAGCCTAAAACCTCCAACCCCGAAGTTTTGGGTTCCCATGATTCGGAGATCGCTATTCAGGGGATAATGCTGAGAATATCTAGAATGATACGAACAGCACGCAGCACACAAATAGTACTGATAGCATAAATCCTTAGATCACAATCGAACATTCACGAGTGGCGACCCTGGGGTCCCCACACCACCAACTGAACCAGGTCAGCTGACAAGAGCCGTCCAGGGTCAGAGCTCCTGCTGCTAAGGACTTCCCTCAGTTCGTTGAGTTCGCTTTGAGTTTCAGAAGAAGGGTTTCGGAGTGCATTCAGGGTCTATAAGGCTCTTTAAGGGACATAAGGAACGCGCAGTTATTTTCAGGGAAAGTGCTGAGCTTCCACACATGTCGGTGCTACAGTACTTTGGCATTCGGGGGCTCCGATCCTTCCGAGCTGTTCATGCTGCAGTCGTCTTCTGTGTGGTCGGTGAAACATTTCTTGCTTCCGAGTCTTCCTAAACCCTAAACCCTAAGCCCTAAACCTCCCTAAACCCTAAACCCTAAGCCCTAAACCTCCCTAAACCCTAAACCCTAAACCCTAACCCCAAACCCTAAAACCTAAACCCTTGGAGGTTCCGGAGCGTCCATTGCCAAAATCCGGCTCAAGGCAGCTTCGCATTGAGATGCGCAGAGCCCCTACAGGCATGCCAACAAAGTTGGAGGATACACCGGTGCAAAGGCTTATGCTTTAGGGGGTTTAGGGGTTTAAGGGTTTAGGGGTTTAGGGGTTTAGGGGTTTAGAGGTTTAGGGGTTTAGGGGTTTAGGGGTTTCGGGGTTTAGGGCTCAGGGTTTCTCCAAGCAAGATCCTAGCTGGCCCAGCTTGCTGTCCTCATGGGCTTGGATGCTGCTGATGGCAGGAGCTCCAGCAGGAGGCGGAACCATGCCGGGTTGAGATCCTCCAACGTACGACATAAGAATAACGGTTTAGGGTTAGGGGTTTAGGGTTTAGGGGTACTTATAACCCACTTATAGCCATGTTAGGGCACTTAAGGGGCTTATAAGTGGGTTATAAGTACAGCTATAACTGGTAATGACATGTACACAAGATTCCAGGGACTACTTGGAGGTTCATGGTACTTATTAACCCAGTATTAACTGCACTTTCAGCTGCCAGTTAGAACCATATTGAGGGAGTACCATGAACCTCCAAGTAGCTCAAGGCTGCTTACGTAGAAACAGCTGATGCCTTCATCTGCTGGTGATACCTGCTGATGCCTCAGCATGCCGCGACCGGAAATGCCGAGCTCTTCTCTGGAATCACAGATGACCGAGCCCAGGACCCTGGAGCATGAAGTCTTTCTGAGGCCCTTCGTTGTGAGACCTCAACTGCAGGGGAATCCAGTTGCTGACTCTTGCATTAGTACCATGACTAGTAGTTGGTAGTCGTCATCATCCTCGCTAGGTGCTATGTTTGGGGAATACCATTGGTAAACCTTCGTAGATCATCGAGGCGGCTGGCCTGGATGCCGATTGCAGCTCGCAGTCCCGGAAGACATATCGAACCAGCAGAGGTCGAACCTGCCGGAGAATATCGGAGGATCTAACCCCACCATTAGGGTTTAGGGTGTAGGGTTTCGGGTTTAGGGTTCAGGGTTTAGGACTTAGGGTTTAGGGTTTCATTTAAAGTCGAGCACACTTGCTCCAAAAATCTAGAACGAGGTAACTACCTGACCAGTCATGACAGACATGTGTTTTTGCTGCCAGTTCCTTTATGGCTGTTTGGAAGCAAGGCTTTACGTCTTCGCCTCAGGCAAGAACAGGCTGCGCAAAGGACTCGGCACCGATTCCAGCTGTGGAGACAGTGTACCGGAAGACCTGATGGCAGGCAGAAACTTCCAGAGGTTCATCAGGATCGCCGTACATTACCATCCTGCCACCATGGCCACATGAGCAGCCGCCGAAAATCTTCTGTAAATGCGAATTTCACACCTGCACCCTATTGCTTTATGGGACTTCGGCTCAACGCTGCTACGAAAACATATCCCTTTCCTGAATTCCTAAACCCTTTGCCTTTCTTTCGGACCTGCAGACTAAAGCGAGTGCGAGAATCCCTTTCCTAGGGGCTGGAGCTTTCGCTTCTCGAATGAGAAATCCAAAATTCCCAAACTTGGAGCCCTCAACCTGGGCCAGGGGCTCTGCCCAGCTTTTCGGGTGGCCACATGGGTCTCGCGGGTTTATCGCTTCGAGTATCGCTCTGGAAGAAGACCCAACACCTGATAAATCATTCCATTGCTGCAGAACGAATTCTAGATGCAAGATTGAGGGTATCGCTCTTGAGACGGGCGTTGCGAGGATCCATATCAGACGCAAGGGGGGGGGGGGGGGGGTTGGTTGCGTGGGCCGCGACAGCCGTACGTGGGAATTCCCAAAATGGGGGGCTCCCATTTCTTTTTCCAGCACCCTCACAGAAGGAATCCCTCACACCCCACAAGGCCCCCCCCAAAGGAATCCCTAAACCCTAAACCCTAACCCCTAACTTATAAACCCTCAACCCTCAACCCTCAACCCTCAACCCTCAACCCTCAACCCTCAACCCTAAACCCTAAACCCTAAACCCTACCCCCTGCCTCCGAAAAGCCATGCACGCTCGGCTTGCCGCCTCGAAGTCTGTCATGGACTCCACGTCCAGGAAGGTGCTGCAGAGCAGGGCTTGTTGCTCTAGGCAGAGGCTCCGAGGTAATGGGCCCCTAATTTGGGGAACCCTTGGTATAGAAGCCTCATGTACGCTATATAAATATCTATATATATATATATATATATTTTTGTTTATACATACAATAAGATCCCTAGAAACAAGGGTAAGGGGCCATATTAAAGGCCCAAGGTTCCAACCTTATACTTGGAGCCCAGGGTTGAGGACTTAGGGCTCAGGGTGCTTCAGCCTCTGATCTTGCGATGCCCATCTTCTCGAAGAATCGTAGTTCAGAGGATTGCTTGGAGGTTCTCATGGTACTCATTAACCAATTATAACTGTACTTATCACCCATTTATAAGCCCCTTAAGTGCCCTAACATGGTTAGAATTGGGTTATAAGTGCAGTTATTACACTGTTAACAAGTACCATGAACCTCCAAGTGGGCGGGACCCCCACACCCCTGCTTCGTAGGCCTCCTCGCTGCAGAGCTTGTCAATGAGTTCGCACACCTGTGGGTTTCAATTCAAGCTTCAGTTTGCGGTTTAGGGTTTGGGGTTTGGGGTTTGGGGTTTAGGGCTAAGGGTTTCAGATCTATAGCCAAGGGCATCCTAAAAGCCTGAAACCCCATGGGGGGGGGGGGGGGGGGGGGGGCGGGAGCTATTTTATCCTCGGTTTAGCCAGTAGACAACTTTCAGAGTAGACGTTAGACAGAAGGCACCCCAGGAATAAGGATCCTCGAATCTCAACACTCCACATACCCCGACTCCAGGCTCCCACCAGAGGGTGAAGCAGTAGCGCTTCCGAAAATTTGGAAGAACCTTCTCAGGGGCAGGAGCATTCGGCCACGCATGTTGCTGGGATCTTGTTTTGTGAAGTAGCTGCCCTCAGGTGCCTCATGGACCATCCGCGGCCTAAGTGAAGTCTGATTCAACTCTTCTAGAAGACGTCACGCAGGCTGCTTCAGCCATCATCGTCAAAGATGGCAGGCGAACTCTGATGAGAGAAGGATCATCAAGCTCCCAGCTCGAACAAGACGAGTCGACCGCTGACCGGAGGAATCCTTCAAACGAATGCCATGTGGTTGGTGTTCAGATGCGCCAGAGTGTGCAAGTTGCATGGAAGACTTTGCTCAGGAAAGAACCCGCACGCAACTTTAGATGACACACGCATCTCCTCACAGGAGGGAGTGGGTAGGGATAGAGCCGCAACTCGCCGCCGTGCTCCTTCTCCCAACCTCGGAACACATTTGTGCGAATAGCAGCGGGTGCCCGAGCTCTCCTCCGGCCCATTGGTGGCTGAGAGAGCGTCCCTCGTTCAAATAGAACAGTGCTGTGGCACGTAAGACCTGATGTGCAGGCATCAGCAGGCTATATTGTGGTCTCCGCAAGTCGAAAACACCCTAATATCGTGCAGCACAAGGTCTGGCCCTCTGTGGTACAGGAAATGTTTGAAAAGCATTGGTGTTTGCACATGACTGACGACCCAGCAGGGCTTGCACGTCCTGGGCATCTGAGAATCGGAACCCTGGTGGGTATCTTGGGTGACTGGGGTGGCCGCCTGCACCGCCCCGCCGGCTCCCTCAGGCTCGGAAATGCCAGAATCAGTGTGCATGGTATAGCAGCCGCCATGACCTGCAACAGCACTTTCTTTGCTTTGTATTGCTTCGCTTTCTTGCTTGCTCTGCCCTGATGCTGCCTTTGTTGATTTGGAGCCTCAGGTGCTGCATGGAGAGACCTGCAGGGCGTGCCGGGAGCTGCTCATTCCAATGCTGACCACGACTTCGTCCCCCAAGAACCAATGGCCTTTCAGCGCGGGAAGTCGCCGTAGTATGCGAAGCAGGCCCTGAATTATGCGGTGCTGCGACTGCCAACATCAAACTCAAAGGTGCCATGTACACCAACCGGTGGATTCGTGCGGTAGCTGGGTTAAAAAGACGAAGCACAGTTCAACCGACCCAAGGGCACCGAAGCTGGAACCAGCCGTGGGGGCAGCAGAAGAAACAACAGCATAGAAACATCTACCTAGATAACAAAACAACAACTGTCTTCTTCTGCTTCGAACATCCCGAGCAAGGAGTAGACAAGCCTAGGGGTGGACCGGAGAATAGTTTGACTTAAAGATCTGACAACCCCACACCGTAGGTGGGAATAAATATACTCTGAAATATATGTATATATATATATAAGATATATATATATGTATACATGTATTGAAATTTATATTCATACTTGTGTACATTTAGTTTTATACGCGCGGTTAGCTCCCCCCAAACGCGCCCTTAGTCAGTTTATTTAAGTATTTTATGCCACATACCATAATCCGAACTATGCGTGCCGCCGTTTTGGGCAACGCCCGTGTCAGCCCTGTCTGTCTGGGAGCTCCGCGAGCCTGGTCGTTCTCAATCTGCGCGAAGGTTGGAGCATGTGCTCGGGCCTCAGTGAACACATGTATATATTAGTAGAATCTAATATAGAATCTGAAATATACAATATGAGATATAGTAGAATATCATTCTATAAAAAATAGGGAAATAAAAGAAATATATCTGCTTATATATATATATATATATCGCTGACACACGTATGTTCGTGGCTAGCCCCAATGGCCAACACATAGTGATACATATATAAATATATATAGATATGTATCACTGAAACAGAATCCTCGCATTTTCGTCGTAAGCCAAATGAACTCCCCTTAGAACCTTCATAAAAACAATGTGTCTAATATCCTCTTGGGTTTTATATGAACAAAAACTCCTCCGGGCGATATAGTCACACTGTTTTGCACTGGCGGCAGCTGAGCCGGAAGCGTCCCGAAAGTCCAAGGTGGTTTCCTCAGAACTTGGCGTGTGAAGATGCGGAGGCTTCCCAAAAAGAAACCTTTTGGGGGGGGCGGTGCCTATATTCAGGGCTATGCCAGCGTAGACCCCAAACTGTGTAAGACCACAAGGGGACACGAAGAGCTGCATGGGGTCACCAAAGAACGAATTCGATGCCGTCCTCCGAGTACTTCCTTTGTATTACAAAAGCCGCCTTTCGAACCACCTAAGCTCCAGATGTCTTCTAACAACACCAAAAGCGATGACAGTTTCGCATGTGGCGAAGCCCGACGTCCAAAAGCCGCGCTAGTTTTGCGTTTGCAGAAATGCGATGTCCAAAAGCCATGTCAGTTTGGCGTAGTTTACGTGACGTCCAGGTCCAAAAGCGACGACAGCTATGAGGATGGCGATGTCGACGCGCTCGGCGCGTAGGCGGAAGTGCGATTCCAACACCCCCAAATGCAAACAAGCCCAAACACGACGACTGTTTCGCATTTCGTGAAACCAGACGTCAAAAAGCGACGACGAGTATGGCGATGTCGTGCACACGGCGCTTAGGCGGGAGCGCGATTTGCAACATCACGAATTATGCAAATCCCCTATTAGTCTGGCTGCACTACGCGAACCCATCAACAGCCAAAAATGCAGGCCCAGCGATGCAAGCCTTGAAAAACGAACGGCGGAGAGCACGATTTCCAGGATTCCACCCGTGAAGACCACAATCATGCACACAGTGCCTAGCGATTCGACACCATGCACGATGTAATTTGCGATGTGTCAAGGGCACGACACATCCGCGCTCAAGCCCGCATTCCGAAAAAAGTGCGTGCGACTTTCGTCCAGAATATGCGATCACCGCTCGAGGAATAGCGTCCGCGTGTCGCGGGCGATTCGCGGGCGCTCCACGGGCAACTCAATCTAAACACCCTTTTACCCCTAGTGTTGGCACACTGCTTGGGAAATTGTATGACATTTTTATATATTTTGGGTGCCATATCAATTATTAAGGGGGCACCCCTATGCTGGGAAATGCCCATGGCAGCTTGCATCCGGCTTAGGCCGTCACGCAAATGTCGTGGTGCACAGCACCTTCCTCTTCCGAGTACGATTGGCTATCCCACATTTGGCCACGCCTTAGGGCCAAGTGAAGCAAGGGCTTACAATCTAATTCCTTGCCTAAAACCTAAACCCTAAACGTAAACCCCAGGGTACTCATCAGCAGAAGCTTGCCGGTCAGCTTACCCTGAAACCTTGCTTAGGCCGTGGACTCTAAGAGGGTGTCCAGCTCCCCACGCAAGGTCGCCTCGGGCCGCCCATCTACCAGGATGGGCTATTAGGCTTTAAGAACCTCATAATGAACCCTATAAAGGGCCTTTTCAGGGATTATAGGGTATAATAGCCCATCCTAGTAGGGTTAAGTGTTATAGTCATCCTTGAATAGAGAGAATTTGGGTTTCGGCTTTTTCTTTTCATTAGTTTTCCGCGGTTTGGCCTTTTTCCCCGTTTTTCAAGGAACCCATACATAGAACCTTTGAACCCGTACATGGAATATTTGAGGAACCCATACACAATCTTTGAACCCATACATAGAATATTTTCGGGATCATGTTTAAGACAGCTTTTGGGCGCCTGCTTGGGGGCCTCCTGCAGGCCTCTTGGCGTCTTGGTTTCTCGTCCCTCGCGTCTTCTTAAGCTTGGGGTGGCTTCTGGGGGCCTCTCGTCTCTTGGCGTGCCTTCCTGCCAACCCACTTCTCTCAGCAGCCACTCTGGGTGCTTATCTTGGCCCCGGAAAAACTATTCTATCTATCGTTTTGGAAACTGGAAATATTCTATCTATCGTTTTGGAAACTGTGTTTTTTGTAGGGATTTCAAATCTTCTATCTACTTAAGGATGCCTAGCAGGCGTAGGGATTTAGAGTGCCTTGGGGTTTGCTGTAACCCATCTAAGTTGTGGGCCTTTCGAGGCTATGTTATTGGTATCATATTTATGACTGGTACGCCAGGGCCATCATGCAGATCAAGCCCAATATGAGCTTGGACAAACGGACACCATATTACAGTCGCGAGCCCCTCAGCAACTTATCTCCTTGCCCAACGACCGGAATTAAGTAACCCAGGGGTCGATCCAAGAAGATGTCAGGCGGTCGCACGCATGGTGGGGTACATTTCTTGCCTGAGACGTCTGCACACAGCTCACCTGGAAGGGCGTTGTCCTGCGCAAGCACGTTAGATTCGGCTGCTCAAACAGGCCAGCACTACTGCCCGGATTGCGATATGTTTCGGAATGAATCTGATGATTATTATCAACGAACTGACTGTTTAGTTCGTGCTGCTTTTGATCGTGTTGTGATTCAGACTACAATGAATCATTTCGGCGCCCCAGTCCACGATTGCATAGCCATGCCGGAGCAGGTGCATCAGTGCCTGGCGAGATTTATGCAGGCGAGCCTCTGCAACGAAACTTTGCTGCGGGAGCTGGCTACTGCCCATGATCGGGTTTAGGGTTTAGGGTTTAGGGTTTAGGGTTTAGGGGTTCAAGTGTGCTTTGCAAGCCGCCTCATCCGAAACTGTGGCATCGAGGGACTTGAGTTGCTCCTTCCATGCTCAGAACAATTAAACCCTAAACCCTAAACCCTAAACCCTAGACCCTAGACCCTAGACCCTAAACCCTAAACCCTAAACCCTAAACCCTAAACCCTAAACCCTAAACCCTAAACCCTAAACCCTAAACCCTAAACTAAACCCTAACGATGTTGTGAGGTTTGTAAAGGACGCAAGAGACACAAAAATGGGTGATTCCACCCGGGAAAGCCTCTGCTGGCTCACCCTCCTCCGATGGCAGCAGCTGGCAGTTCGCCTTGCTCCCCGACTTCGACGACTCGGAGGTTCATGGTACCTATTCACCAAAGTATAACTGTACTTATCACCCACTTCTTATCAGCCCCTAATATGGTTGTAATTGGGTTCTGAGTACAGTGATTTTTGGGGTTAGTTAAGTACCATGAACCTCCAAGCATCAGCCTTTTTGCAAACGAGCTTTTGCAACGCTCTTGCCGGTGCCTCTGCCTCTGCCCAGGAAGGCAAGATGCTGGAGTCTAGCTCTACCTGAGGCAGCCTAGAAAACTCTGCTTGCGAATGCCTGACAGCACAGAAGAATGCTTCGAATTAGGGCCTCCGGATCATCTTCATCTCCACTCGGGTCCTAATACAAAGCGTGACACATCTGTGAGCCTCCGGGAAAAGGCAGCACTGTCAAAAAACAACGTCCTTCAATGAAAGGCTGCCAACTCTTCGGACCATCTTGCCGTCCACCAGGACCCAGGCTTCCTCCCCCAACGGCCGTGTTTAGGGGGTTTAGGGTTCAGGGTTCAGGGTTTAGGGTTCAGGGGCGTGTTCCAAAATAAAGAGACCCTTCGATGTCGAATCCGACTGAAGAAGCAAATCTGCATGCTGCGCTGCTAAAATCACCTCCACAGAGGCAATCGTCCACGGCCCCGCAGGCCTTCCCGGCGCCAATCTCGCGAAGCCGCTGCAGCTCCTCAGGCAAAATACCTCCACGTCTCGGGGAAGCTTCTAATCGTAAAACCTTATGCCCTAAACCCGAAGTTCCCTCTCTCTCTTCTGCTGCTTCTGCTTCTTTCTTGCCTCTTTCTCTCTGTGTGCCGGTCTCTTGCGCACGGCACCAGCTCCCAGTGGCAGGATCAGGGACCTCAGGATCACAATTCAGGTGGAGCCCAGGGCCAGCGTGCTTTCCAGCGCTTTAAAACTTGCAAGGCATGAAGCCAAATCCTAAACCCTAAACCCTAAACCCGAAAACCTAAACCCAGATCACCATGGCGGCTCTTTCAGCCAGCTCAACGCTTTGTAGGCCTCCAACCTCGACCCTCAGCAAGCCGTCGGGCAATTCGCCAACCTTTGCGTGAAGCCGTGAACTCCAAAGTTGGATCCTATAGTAAGTACATACATATACATACACATATCGACATATTTACATGATAAACATACATATATATACATATGTCTTATGCAGTATGACATATACGTCCATGGGATGTAATTGTTACGTAAAATATGATATACTCGCTTTACATTGCAGTGGATTCTCTGCTGTATATTCTGACATTCTTGAGCCTGGCGGCTAAAAACCCGACAGCCTTCAACACTACAAGGTTTTGGGATTTAGGGTTTAGGATACCTTTTTCAAACAATTGGGTGCTGCTTCTCACAGTGCTGGCGCATCGACGTCGCCTCTTGCCGCTGATGTCTGCGCATGTCCCAGATGCCTCTTGACTGCTAGGAGATGGGATGTTCCCCCTTGTACTTACCTTAACAGGGATTCTAGTGTACTAACCTTAATAGTAGGGATTCTAATTGGGCGGTACTAACCTTATACGAACAGTCCTTACAAGGGATTCTAATAGGGGGGGGGGGGTACTATAATCACCATTAAGGATTGTTAGCATAGGGGGGGAACATCCCCCAAGCTAGGAGCATCCTGTCCCTACAATCGAGGATGGCTTAGGCGTAACGGCTTCATTGAGGCACACGTACAGATAGACAGACAGAAAACAGACAGACTGACGTGCACACACACACACACACACATATTGACATCCCTGATACATAAGGGTGGAAATCTAGAGAGGGCCCGCCCCCACCCCCCAAAGCCGCTCCGCCCCCCCCCCCCCCCCCCAAAAAAAAAAAAAAGGAAAAAAAACATTAAAAAAAAAAAAACCTGTCTCTCAGCTTTTGGCAACTGGGGCATCCTCTTGTGGCGCGCTTCGGACTTCGATCTTGCCACTGCCGCCTCCTTGAGCAATAGTAGTTAAGGGGTTTAGGGTTTAGGTTTGGAATGAGCCAACATGCGAATCCACTAGAGGGCGCCAACGAGCCCTGAATCCTGGAACGGAAGCTCTAAACGATAAGGGGATTGGGGCCTGAGGTTTCGGTTTAGCGTTTGGGGGTTTAGGCGTTTGGGCCTTAGGGTTTACAATCCCCCGAAGCCCTCTGATCACAGCACACTCCCGCGCACTGAAGCCAAGGATATGCACCATTCTCCAACACAAAAGAGCCAGCGGTTGACCAGGAAGGCTACCCTGGAAGATCTGTTCAGGTATAGGGTTGGGAGTTTAGGGTCAAACCGTGAAACCGTCCCAAACTTCGCCTGAACCACCTAGGAGAAGCTGCAAAATACTCACCGTGAAAAGGTCGGTGTAGCTGGCCTGAGCCAGAAAGAATGAGCCAATGCGTCGCACTCTGGCACATGCCTGCGCAAGGTGCTGAAAAAAGTTTTGTGTCTGCATCGTAAATAGGGGTGCTGTTTTTGTCCAGGTCCCATTGCATTAACCCAATAAAAACTGTACTTATAGCCCAATGATAACCATATGAGGGCACTCAAGGGGCTTGCAAGTGGGCTAGAGATACAGTGATAATTGGTTCTTCAGTACCATGAACCTCCTTGTTGCCCCCGTAACGCACAAGTGCCTGGTCCAGTGTGCGGAGATGCCGGCAGCGAGGGGGGGGGGGGGGGGGGGGCGAAGCTTCAGTCAAAAATGCGTTGACGTTTGGGGTTGGGGTTATGTTTTTCGGGAAGCTTCGGGCTTCAGATGGGCCGATCATGGTTGAGTTCCCACTTCAAGTCCTACGCCGTCCTACACAGCATGCTAGACCCACAGCATCTCAAGGGTTGTCCTGATCTAGCTTGCTTGAACCAGGCACAGCTGGCATACCGCTTCTTGAAAGGCCGAAAGGAAGAAGACTGAGGATTGGCGGATGCCTGCGACAGCCTTTACAGCCTCGCGGAGCGACTTAGGCTTACCGTCAGTGAAGGTGTCCTGCTATACACAGGCATTAAATACCAAAAAAACGTTCCAGACTGTGAACTCAGTCTGAGAACTCAATGATCGGCAGGGATCAGCCCCCTGAATTTGAAGGGGCGCATCTACGCATCTTTTTAACCGGGACCCCAAGAAGGGAACATGGCCCGGAATGGCACTGAACTGTGGACCCCTCATCATTCCGGTCCTGACTGCTTGGCAGCCGCTGGCTGATGGCCCAACTATATCCCCTGGGAAATATTCTTTCTTTTTGTCCAAAAGGATATTGAATATATTAATGTTATTCTGGTTCGAAGGGGAGTATAGCCAACCCGTGTCTCAGCTCCGCTACTTGGACTGCATGCGCTTGGACTGTGTGTCCTTGTCCTTGTCGCTACGCGGATATGTCTCACTCTGGCGGAAGGTGTACCTGGAAACTCAATTGTCAATCTTCGAGACTAAACCCTAAACCCTAAACCCTAAACCCTAAACCCTAAACCCTAAACCCTAAACCCTAAACCCTAAACCCTAAACCAGGAGGCCTTGGGGCCTCTGCAGCTTTGTGGGCCTGGGCCTTTTGACACTCCCAACCTTCCCTGCACACCAAGCTGCAACAAGGCTTAAGGACAGTGCAGTGAATGCATTGGCGGCTTGGATTTTGTGCTTTTGCCTGTTTAGAGTTTAGAGCCAGAGCCTTGCTAGGACCCTGTTGTTGTTTCTGCAGGGCTCAGGATTTGGACTTACGGTTTCAGGGCAACCGAGCATCTGCCGCGCACCCAAATGTTCTCGTGCAACCCGCGGGCACGCTTCAGACAAGGCGACGTCTTGCGAATCAACGCCACCTGCATGGAAGAGTCTTGCCAATCTTCCACAGACTGCGCTTCGAGCGTGGGCTTGAGCCTAAGTCGCTGTAAAGGTCGGAGAGCTGATTCACAAGCTCATCGAAGGTGGGTCTGTCCTCAGGCAAGGACAGCCGCGTGTAACTAAGTCCAACCCAGACTCACGAAGAACCACGTGGATCAAACTTCTGCCAACCACTCCGTGCTGATGCATGTTCGCTCTGTGGACCGCGCGTCGGGGTTTGCGCCCAATGTTCTCTCAATGATCTGGACAAGCCTCCTGGGAGCCTCATGTGACACCGTCGAAACGTGGCTGCTGAAAAAGCAGCAACGAGGCCGCTCTATATTTGTGGAAGGTGTGGACGGTCATGGACTGGCATGCGAAGGCACAAGCCAGACACGGGCTGCAAACGCAAACGAACAAAAGGTTTATGGTGATCCCCCCCCCCCCCGAAAATCCTCCCAAGCAGGGGTTGCAGACGGTTCCTACTGTTACTACTGTTACTACTGTTACTACTAGTAGTACTAGTAGTACTAGCTAGTACTACGGGGCTACTGGACTACTACGCCTATACTCTACGACTACGACGACTACGACGACTACGACGACTACGACTACGACTGCTACTGCTACTACGAGTACAACCACGACTACGACTACGACTGCTACTGCTACTGCTACTACTACTACTACTACTACTACTACTACTACTACTACTACTACTACTACTACTACTACTACTACTACTACTACTACTACTACTAATAATAACTACGACGACGACGACGAATAATACTACTACGATCATGATGATTTGCAGTTACATCATCTACTACTTATTTTGCATCATTCCATGTATTGCTCTACTTGCTGCTTGTATGCTTTGTTGCTAGTGGGTGGACTTGCGGCGCAAGCTCCATGCTCGGGCCAAGGACTTCATTGGGCAGCGTAGGCCGCTTCCCTCGCGCGACCTGGATGACCTTGGGGCTGATTCCATGGGGCGGGGGGGGTTGGATTCGGAAAGGGGGGGGGGGGACTAGGGGGGGATTAGGGTTTTAGAATTTCTTGGAGTGGGCATGGATGGGATGAAGTGTGTCTGTAGGGGAGTTGATGAGGCTAGGAGGGCATGGAAACATTGCTCAAACCTTCCCCCCACCCCCAAACACACCCAAAGCCTGAATCTGCCCCGGTCAGAAACGGTGACTGATGACATCTGTTGCCTTCCCAGGGCCCGGCGAATTTTTTGACGCCAGGTCTACAGCTGCCAAGCGTCCCACACATGATCGCCAGAAGACACGACAAGAGCTTCTCGAGACTCTATAGAACCTGGTACAACACAAAATCCCAGACCCAAATTACGCTCACCTTCAAAACCGCTAAAAGCCTAAACTACTTGCAACAAGGATTGGAGACATCCTCTCGTCGCCTCTCTGCTCGTGAAGCAACCCAAGCCAAGCCCAGCACAACCACAAACCTAACTCCCCTAAACTACACCCTGGACCTGGATCATTGAGACTGAAACCCAAAACCCTCAACATCTCAGTCATTGGGCCTGAATGATTCGAAATCGCGAACCCGGGGCCTAAGACTCGAGTGAACCCGAGACTTCGACCACCTGCGGGGCAGAAAGGCCTGCAAAGGGCTCCTGGGGTGTATGAGAAAAGAAGTGGTGGGAAGCTATCAGGCTACAGGGAGCTCGGGGGAGTTCAAACAAGTAACACTATTCTGTATAAACAATAAGAACGCCTATGCTCAGCATTCCTCACTATATAGATAGATATTATATATATATATATATATGGCTGTGTGCCTAAACCCCCGGTTGTCGCGGCCCGCGCCCGCGCCCACCTGTTACAGACCTCTGTAACGCCCGGCTCGTTACAGACCTCTGTCGCGCGCGCGTTCGTATCATGCTATATTATAATATATATTATACTATATTCTATTATATTATATGATATTATATTCTATTATCTTATATTCATGCACTAAAAAAGGGTCTCAGGGCGCATTGGGGTAGGACGATAATGCGTCTATTTGGGGCGCACGTTGCTTCCGCAGATGTCGCAGTGGACTGTGTTTGGTCTGTCGCGGGTATGTAACGCACTTGTAACGGGGTATGTCGCGCGCCGGGAGGCATGAGCACAGATTTTTGGGAATTTCGGGGTTTCAGGCTTCGGGGGTGTCTTGCCGAAAGCCTGGAGCGTCCCCCTGTTGAGGACCGAGTGGGGTTGGCCGCGACAAGCAAGACCTGGAACCCTCACAGCTTCTTGAAATTTACGAACACTTACCCCCCGATAAGCAAGACTTAGAACCACCCCACATACGCAGCCTTTAAGGGTTTAAGGGGGTTTAAAATTCAGGGTTACATATATATTTGCTTCTTGAATTTACGCACTTACCCCCCGATAAGCAAGACTTAGAACCACCCCACATACGCAGCCTTTAAGGGTTTAAGGGGGTTGAAAATTCAGTGTTACATATATTTGCTTCTTGAAACTTACGAACACTTACCCCCCGATAAGCAAGACTTAGAACCACCCCACATACGCAGCCTTTAAGGGTTTAAGGGGGTTAAAAATTCAGTGTTGCATATATATTTGCTTCTTGAAACTTACGAACACTTACCCCCCGATAAGCAAGACTTAGAACCACCCATTCAGGGTTACATATATATTTGCTTCTTGAAACTTACGAACACTTACCCCCCGATAAGCAAGACTTAGAACCACCCCACATACGCAGCCTTTAAGGGTTTAAGGGGGTTTGAAATTCAGTGTTACATATATATATTTGCTTCTTGAAACTTACGAACACTTACCCCCCGATAAGCAAGACTTAGAACCACCCCACATACGCAGCCTTTAAGGGTTCAAGGGGGTTTAAAATTCAGTGTTACATATATATTTGCTTCTTGAAACTTATGAACACTTACCCCCCGATAAGCAAGACTTGGAACCTGCAGACAACAACAAACAGGTCTGTCGCAAAACCCCGGCCGTTGATACATACCCTCTGTAACGGGGTATGTCGCGTGTGCGGGCCGCGGCCCTGTTACAAGCAATTAATATTGGCATGCGGCCATATCTATCTATCTATCTATCTATGTGTGACAGTGTGTGTGTGTGTGTATTTTGATATATCTGCAAATAGTGTAAGAACAAAAACAGTGTACTGCATTGCAAGATATTTCAGTAATGAATTATGCAAGACCGTCTATTCTAATTAATGCAATATTCTAATTAATGCAACATAACACAATATTTTTTCGCAATCGAACATATAGTAGAAAAAGAAACGCGTGCAACTCCACAAGCAACCATCGTCTTCTGATAACCCTGGGCAGGTCCTGACCAGTAAACACTTGGTAGGAGATGATGCCAAAGGCATAAACATCAACCTTCTGCGTGAGCCTTTGGTCGCCGAGGCGGCAAGGCACGACTACAACGATCGGGTTCAGGGACTTCGGGCCAGTTCGAGCCAGGAAAGCTGGTTAAAAACCACCCATATCAACTCAGGCAGTCACTGAAACACGGGTTGCTACTATCAAAGGCTGAGACCTCGCTGAGACCTCAAGGGCTAACAATTGCCAGCATGGAATGTAGGGCG